GTCTTAAAAGGGATGGTGTTTGGCTCGTTTGCTATCTCAAGAAGAAGTGGCGAGTTTGAGAGGTCTGAATGGGTCATGTGAGCTGGAAGTCAGCTGGTGGCTGTATTCAGATCCATTAAGGCTTCAAAGAAGCCAAAAGAAGGCGCAGCAACAAGCTTAGAATTGATCAAGAGGGCCATCAAGTTTCAGAGACCACAAGACAAGCCCAACCTAGTTTAACCTGGCTGACTTGAAGATGGCAGACCAAAGAGGCTGACCTGAAGATAGCAGACCCAAGGTGGCTAAGGTGGAAGTTCAAGTGGAGAAGCAAGCTGATGGAAGGCTATGAATCAATTCCAAAGTCTTTGCGAGTGCCTTTGGTTTAAGAGCTGAAGATCAGATGTGCACAAGATGTCAAGATCTATTTTGCACATAATTTCAAGGCTCAAGACATGTTTAGTGTGCGGGGGAGCTTAATTGGTGACCAAACCGCATTTCAAAGTCCTCACATTGCTCTTCATATAAATCAGACTAAACTCTAAACTCTATCCCATTTTTTAATTTGCCTTTATTTCATTCCCTTAAGTTCATTTGCGGATTCTTTCTATGAATTTCTTAGTCTATTGTACATCTTTTATTCTTGATATTCCTCATAGGATTTGAAGTTCCTCATTTGGTTATTTGTTTCTTTGATATTCCTTATGGCATTACTTAATCTTTTCTTCTTTATCTCTTGTTGAAGGGAAAAAGGAGACCATAAGAGCCTCAAAGAGACCAAAGAAAGCTTCAAATGCTGGAGAGCCTCAAAGGAGATGACAAAGAACGGATTCATGCGAAGAGAGTTCAAGGCAAGAAGAGCTAAAGGAATGGAAACACTTGGGAGAGGAGCCGGTTCAAAAGCAAATTCAAACCAAGGCCATAGCTACATCAAGCAACCGTTAAACTAATACTCTTTTTCCCTTCATAAAGTTTTATCCCAAGAGGTTTTCTTTATGAAGGTTTTTTAATGAGGTAGTTTGGCGTGTTGCAAGCTTGGCCTCTGGTCCTCTTTGGCGTCTCGACGACCAAGCTTGCGGGGGAGTATTAGAGTGAAAGAAGGAAAGGAGAGGTGAGGCCGAAGTCAACAAGACAAGGCCGATCATCTCCAAGTCAAAGAAGAGGAAGAAGAGGAGTTTCAAGGCCAATGACATCAAGACAAGGCCGAAGACAACTCCAAGATCTCTCAAAGAAGATAAAAAAAAGACAAGACAAGGCTGAAGAAGCTATTGATCAAGTCTAGCCTCGGCCTAAAGAAGAAGAAGAACTGTACGGCCAAGTCAACTCCAAGAGGTGTCCGTACAAGTCTAAGGTTGTGTAAGGCCGAGGCCCATTAGATAAGAAGAAGAAGAGGACGCCAAGAAAGCCTAAAGAATGCAAGGAATAAGGCCCATAAGTGACAAGAAGAGGAGGGAAACGAATTCAAATTCAAGTCTGCTCTCACAAAGTCACATGTGACCGTTTATGAGCTGTCACTTTCAGCTCTTAACAAGACAAAAACGCTCTCTTTATGTCACTCTCAGTCTTGGCTCATGTGTTAGGGCTTCCTCTCTTCCTTTCTCTCTATAAAAAGAGATGTAACCAAGCTTGTAAATGTTACACAGAATCAATGAAGTGATTTCTCTCTTTTATCTTATTCTTCATTCTATTTCGCAATGTAGAGTCCTTAGAGAAAATCGTTTGTAGTGACTGCCCTTAAGGCAGCCTTATCACTTCATAAACACTCACTTAACTCTTCTTTATTTGCTTCTCTCATCTAGATTACTGAGTCTTGCATCTCAAGAACACAAACTCTCTATGTGTTGTGTTCATTGCTTAGATTAGTCTCAAACTAGATGCTTTCCCTTTATAGAATCGTTTTCTTCCTCATAGATTCGGTTCTACTTATGTTTATTGTGTGGATTCCATCACAAGTTGATGGTCTCTTCTCTCTCTTGAGATCGAGTTTATTTTGTGTGGGTTAAGTGGTTTCATTCACCAAGTGAATGCTTCCACCATTTGTTGAGCTTTGTCTCATAAATCCCAACATGAACTTGTTGATACTCACGTTTAACCCAGACATCTTCTTGCCAGACGCGGAAACTCCCAGAACCTGGAGCTCTGATACCAGTTTGTTGTAACAGATGCAAGAAGAAAACAATAAACGTAAAGATCACACACAGATTTAACGTGGTTCACCAACGATACGTTGGCTACATCCACGGACAAAGGAGACTGATTTTATCACGGAGACAGAAAAATTTCAGAATACATCAGAATTTAGGTTAACATGTTTATTTATAGCATAAACCCTAGTTAACCTTAATCGCAATTGGGCTCGCTCACTTAGGCCCATGTAAGAACCTTCATGCAGAAATAGCGGCCCAAATGCACGCAGACTTCTACATTGCTCATGCAGGCTGTAGTCGTCCACATCAACTTACATAGCATGTAGATCTCGACATCAGCTTTAGGATGCAGAACGTTGCACTCAACTATTTGCTCAAACAGATTGTAAGCTTCAACATGCAGCGTGTAAACTTACACAAGCAACCTCAAGACGCAGCATGTAAGCTTCAACATGCTGCAAGTATCCTGCATACTTGATCACGCAGGCTGCATGCTGGATCCTGCAGCCTGTATGATTGATCGTGCAGCCTGCACGCAACTGCACGCATCAACCCAAATACAGTCTGCATGCATCTGCACTCATCAACGCCAGGAAACTTCTACGCTTCAGGATTCAAGGCATACCAACAAATTGTAGAGATTGTAGGCCTGCCTTGAAGCCTTACGGTACAACCTTTCAGGCGATTCAAGGCTAGGTAGAAACTTTGTATAATGCAAAAATCCAGCTCCATGCAACCTTCTGATATTTTCTATTTGATTTTGGTATGCTACCGTT